GAAGTGTGTTCTATATTACATTGTTAATGAGAGCAAAGTCCTGTTTCTTTCTAGATTTTGCATTGGAATATTGCACTAAAAACTGAATGGATGCCAAATCTATCCAGGCCTGGAAAGACAGCAGAGCTCAAAATTCAGAACTAATCTTGGCTCCACCGTATCCCTGCTAGGTATTACTGGGAAGTAGAAGGAATTATTGAATGAAAATCCTAGCAGCTGCCCTTATGTTTCTGGGTATCTTATCACATCTGGGCCAAAATAAGATGCCTAACAAGTGATAATGCTAGCTGTTATTACTTTTTTATTGAGAATCACTTATCTTAAACACATAACATTTTTAGTTTTTTTTTTTTTTTTTTTTTTTTTTTTTTTTTTTTTTTTTTTTTTTTCCCAGATGTATATATTGTATTTAAGTTATGGGTCCTTAAATTTGGGGCCAGAAAATTGGGTTTTTGTTCAGTCTATAAATGGTTGGTTAATGACATCATCATTCCTTACCTACATTCTCCATCTCCTCTTGTCTTTCTTATCTCAGTAAATGCTAATGCAATCTCTCAAGCCAGATACCTGGCTTTTCCCCTTGGGTTTTCCCTCTGTCTTACTCACACATGCAATGAGTATCTATGTTCTGTGATTTGGCCCTCATCATCACTACTGTCACTTATTCCTTGAGTCAGACACACCAAGATAACAGACTCTTATATTTCTTACCTATCTGCATCAATAGGATGAACACTGCATCTTGTCTTGAAGCCTCTTTTTTGTTAATTCTTCAAATGTGTCACTCCTTGCTTAATTCCTCTAAGATCAACTTAATTATTCCCTCACTCCCATCATCAGGAAAATGTCAAACGCCTCATAATGTTATATCATTATGCTCTTCCTGGCCAGATCTCTGAACACTTCTCCAGATCATTTCTAAACTGGTATCTAGAAATTATCCTTGGGACTTCTATGCTACAGTCATCCGAATCAGGCCCTTATGTTGCTGTTTCCTCATAGTAGTATCTTTCTTCTTCCATTTCTGTGCTTGGCTAACTACTACTTGCCTGTCAGGCTGCAGCTTAGAGGCCACATTATCTTCAGAGGCACCTTCTCTGACCCACCAAATAGATAATCCCCCTACGTGTTCCACAGGACATTACGCTCACCCCTGTAGTAAGTATTTCCAGTATTGCCTTTGTTACACAGTTGCTACTGTGTGGGCTCTGGGCCAGGGTATGGCTGGTGACAAGGGTAATTAGATAAGGGATATTTACCTAACCCAATGGGATTGAATTTCCTTTCTTAGAAATCTGAACTAAGAGGCAAGAAGGCAAGCACCAGTTAGTGGTTGGTGCTCTGGCTGGGAGGAGTGGTGTGCAATTCAGGTTGACAGTCACTTACAATGACAATGGGCAGAGAAAGCTGTTGGAAAGATTGAGAAAAACAGAAGAAAAACTGGTCCACAGGAAAAAAAAATCCCTGGGTGTAATTTCCTGATATCTAAGATTTAGTACTCCAGGGTCCTTAGAATTCCATAAGAATGGCATATTCCTAAAATATTATTTCTGCATTTAGTTCTCTCTCTCTCTCTCTCTCTCTCTCTCTCTCTCACACACACACACACACACACACACACACACACACACACACACAGGTTTATAGAAGCTTTCCCATCTATAAACATCAAAACCCATCCTATAAACATTAAAACCCCAGTATTAAGGAAAAACTTTTTTTTTTAAAAAAAAAGGTTACAGTAGAGTTTGATGTAATTCTCCAAATGAGCTGAACAAATATGTAAGACTCTTGTGGAAGCATTTTGGTTCTTGGAAAGATTAGCTTTAAAATGAATCCAGAGAAGAGTTTTTCAGAAGTTTTCTCAGGCCTGAAATGCTTTAGCTGCTTTCCTACAGCAAATTTGTATTGGCCTGGCACCACTGGCTGTGTGGCTTGGAAGAGCATTATTTGTAGATCTTCTCAATGAACTTTTAATGCATCTGCATTGAGATAAAAAATAAACCTAGATACACACTGATTGAAAAAATACATTAACATTCCTTTAGCTTCTAGGGAAAGCCGTGATATATAGTCATTAACTGGGAAATCTGCCTTTAGATTTCCTTCTGCTTTAACATGCTAAAAAGAAACTTAGAACTATTTTTTAAAAAAATTCTTCATGCTTTGTTGTTTTACCAAGATGTCCTAATTTGTATGAATCCAACCACTCATTAACTCTCAAGTGCTATTAGCTATCAAGAGTCAAATGAATTCAAAGGGGGAAAAAACAAAGTTTAATTTCAAGCCAATAAAGGCATTTTTTTTCTGTTGTCATTATACTGCTTTCGTTGGATTTCTACTTGCCTATCTGGCTATCTATAGAACAAACAGAGGTTTATATATATATATATATATATATATATATATATATATATATATATATATTTAAGTAATATCAATTTTATTTTTGAATCACAGATTGCATTAATAGCAGCTTTTATTCTTTTATTTATTTTTGAGGTTTATATTCTTAAAGTATCTTGCTTTCATAACAGACTTGTTTTTGTTTGTGAAGGTGAAGGATGGGAGGAAGGGTGAGAACTTGAATAGACTGATATTTTCTTGCTGGAATTCCTCTGTCTTTTCAATTTAAAGAGCTCAAGATAATGTGATATCTCTTACTTCAATGTCATTTTTAATACCTGTCCAAGCATTCTAGCTGTATATACTGTCTTCCATATTAGGAAAGATTATGCCCCCATAATATTTACTTATTATTTTTTATTCTTAATACAGGGGATATTCTAAGATGACCTGTATTCACTCTCTGTGTCCTTGATACAATTACTTTCACACACTTTCAAAAAGTATCATCTCATCATAATGGATTAACACAATTTTGTTAGCGCCTTTTAAATCACAAGAAGTTAACCTCAGTCTTCATTAATAAGATCACATAAAATTAGCCTGTGCTCTTGTTTTCATCTCTGTCCAAAACAGAATATAACAGCTTTTCTGTTTGTAAATTGATTAAGAAATATGATTTAAAACCCATCACTACACTGTAACCTGCCATATACACGGCAAAAACTAAAATCTAGCGATGTAGAAGGAAGAGATGGCATGGGGAGAAATGACAGATACAGGTGAAGGGAAGGAAGGCAGCAAACCACAATGCCATATGTGTACCTGTGCAACAATCTTGCATGTCCCTCACATGTACCCCAAAACCTAAAAGGAAATAAGAAAAAAAATGAAGAAAAAAAAAAAAGAAAAATCTTATTAAGCTATAAAAATTGTGGAATGTTTAAATTCAGTATAAAATTCTTAGAAAAAATGATTCTAATTGATATTCTAAATTTTTGTCAGAAGACAGTTTCCAGCAGCTGTGTGTGTTTATATTAGTTGCCAATTTAAATATTTATAGAATTCATATAAATTAAACATGATTTCCATATTTCTTCTTAATACTAGAAATTCTGGCAAATGTATAGGCATTGGAGTAAATTAATATTCATTATATATTATTGCTTTACAATACAAATCATAAGACAAATTTATTACAAAATCTCTGTGGCTGCTGAAGCACATTCTGGGAATAATAAAAGTATAACCAATTTAGAAAACTTCAAGTTTGAAAAGATAATACAAAAAAAAAAAAAAAAAAAAACAGAAAGGGAAAAATAGAAGTTCTTAAAGACTGTTTTCTATGCATTGTCCTTGAATTTTCAGAACACACTGGACTCTATTCTACGTGCTTCTGTGGAACTGCATGGACTCACCTACCACCCTACCACTTTGCTGCCTGTCTTCACCACTGCTACTGCCAAACCTCCACTACAAAGAAAGGCCAATCTGAATGGAGAGATTTGAGGCCACTGATTGAAGGATGTGACTTAGGAGATAGAGCCACTGTGCCTGCAAAGTTACCCTTTTACTCTGACTCGTGGCCATGGTAATTGAAGAATTACATTTAACTTTCACAGGTCTCTCAAATCTCAAATGGATTTATGATGCGCCTCCCTTAGGTCCTGACTGAAACAAAGTATTCAAACTTATTTTACCAGAGAACTCTTTAATGAAGCTTAGAAAATAAACTCGGCTAATACTGTGATATTTCATATTATTTTGCTAGTATTATTTACATGTGTATTCCTCTCTAGAAATTTTTGGGGAGGAAGAAGGACTGTGTTTGAGGAAAGGTTTGATATTCATAGTCCCCCAGCCAAATGCTTCCCAGCACTATTCTTTTTCATAAAGAAGGTCACAAATATTATATTCCCTGGGGAAAATGACAGAAATAAGAATACCTACATGTAGTTTTATGGGAAAAATAAAAATTATATTGCCTAAATATTATGTAAATAAAAAATAGAATATAAAGTATTGGGGAAAGGAGTAAGTATTAAGTTTTGTGGAAATATGACCCAATGCTCCTCACTGGAGCTTTTAGGGCTGGATGTCACTTGCTGTACTTTCCAGCTGCAGAGGCAATATTATAAAAAGAATGTTCCACCATTTTCACAAGCAAATTAGGTTGCTTCAGTAACTGTAACTTTTATACCAAGTTTTACACTTTAAATGACTAATATGCAATTCCTAAGCAAGGTGTTTTAATCATAATCTTTCCAAAATCTTGATAGTTTCCACTGATGAAAGCTTTTTCAAACAAGCAGATGATCAGACATGTTAAAACTTATCTTCCACAGCCTTTCAAATTTTACAAAAGTTGAAAGTGTCACTAAAAGTAATTTTAAATTTCCTGTGATAATGCAAGAATATTTCAAACCCAATCAAATATTTTAAAACAAACATTTCAAAATAATGATGAAGTTCTAATGTAGAACCGGCAGGCACTGTTAAAACTGGCCAGGATATCATTAAATGGTAACAGCCACAGAAATGAGTGCAGACAGTAAACTTACAATAAGACACATTTGGGGCACTTCCTGGGGCTGAGCCTCTCAGGAGTCCCAGACCAACCACCCCCAGCCCTCTCTCCCCACCGCTGGCCGCACCTTGGGCTGCAGTCTGTGCTCCTTGGGCACCTGGACCACGAACTCCTCTGGTAGCTCCACGGGACCCTTGTCCGCGATGAGCAGCGGTGCGCTCTGCAGCTGGCTGCTGAAGCAGATGTCTGGGTGGAAGAGCGCCTCCCGGGCTGCGCTCAGCGTGTCGCAATGGAGCAGCAAGGGCTGGATGTCGCTCACTGTGCTTGCCACCTGCGGGGACCGCAGGGCGCACCATCAGACCCCTCTCACCTCAGTCCCGCCTCAGGGGTAGCCCCGGTAAAGGCTATTCCCAAGGCTGCTCTCTGTCGCAGGCGATAGGCCCAAGACTCCAGCCACCCCAGGCCCCACTTAGACAACCCTACATTCGAGAGGGTTCCATCTCCTGGCCCCTAGTATGATGCTGTCCTAGTTAAACAGTCTTAATCAAGCTGAAAATCCTAATCCTAACTCTAATAATGATTAGAAAATTAGACATAATTATTGAAAGCACAGTAAGCTACCTGAAAAAATATAAATATTATTTTTATTTTTATAGATTCACAGCACTCTAATGTAAATGAAGGGCACTAATATCTACTACATAAGTGTAACTAAGAATATTGGTTCCTGAACTCAATTTTTACACAAAAATAGTTTGATAAGTTAATGGGTAAAGAAAGTCCCAGAAAGGTGTTTTTAGTTTATTTGTTTTGTTTTGTTTGATGCATGGTTACACTTATATGGATTGTTTTATACTTATTTATATGTTTTCAGGTCATTTAACTACCATTTTTTGCAAGGTGTTGTATTAAAATCTGTGGTAGACATTAAGGTGAAAAGGATATACACACATTTTTACCATTTATATACACAGTGATTTTACTGACAAATGTTACATATTACATAAATGAGTAAATATGAAAGACCAAGACAACAACGGGAAAAAATATACACATGATTTAAAAAAATAATTCAGAAAACAGCCATACATTTTATGCTATGAAAATAGAGATATTTAAGTAGAGGATTTTTTTTCTGATACATTGATACATGAGATACACATTTCCCTACACTATTTGCAACTAGTTTAATAAATAGGAATGATAATGAAAATATGTCTGCAACAGAAAGAATAAATCTTACCAAAAAAAAAAAAGATTTTGCTTCACACAAGTATTTTTTAACATGTTCTAACATGCATGTTTAAAAACACATCAATAATGTTATGTGGCTAACATTAAACAGGAGAGAAACTAAGAAAATCAATAATGCAAGAGAATTTTATGATCATCTTTCTAACACTAGAAATTTATACAGTGGTGACATAATTTTTTGCTGTATAAAATATTTGCAAATTAAGAATGTAAAACATATCCTTCCCAAATACATAAAATAATACAACTTAAAGAAAAAAATATATTAAGAAATATGTTAAACAGTATATCTATAATGAAATACTTGATAATATAAGTCTCAGACATTGCCCCGAAACATTTTTATTTCAATTTATCACAATGTATGATTATTAAAGTATCTAGGCAAAAGGTAACCTGAATGCTGTTTCCACAGCCTGCATGAATGAAAAAGATGCCAAAGAAGAAAATAACTTTCAAGACCAAAAAGCTGTGAAAATCAACATCTCTAAGGATTGCCTTCTCTGATGTTTCACTCTAGTGGGATCATTTCTGATCTTTTGGGTCCTGAGATTTGCCTCTCTTCATTGCCTAAAATGACAATATGACTAATATAAAAATATTTTTACATAAATATATATAGGCATGTTTTCTCTCACAGCTTTATTACTGCTCTGTGGAAAAATATTAGACAAATGTTACCAGAATAGGTTATCCTACAAGCTTCTGTTATTATAAAAAAAATGAAAGATTTTATCCTTAGCCAAGTTAAACTATAAGCACATTTAGTGTGGAGGAGAATATGCTTAGTTGTTCATTCATTCAACAAACATTTATTAAGTTCCCATTACATGTAGTTTCCTCTTCTAGGTGCTAGAGAATTTGGTGAAGAAAACAGACCACAAAGCTACTTTAATGAATTATGTTTCTGGTAAGGGAAATTAGAAAATATACAAGTAAATATTAGAGAAAACAAATACCATATAAATTTGAATAATCTATGGAAAATTTAAATAGATTAATATGTAAAAGCTATTTCATTTAGGGTTTTGTGAAAGACTTTGGATAAGGAGATAAAATATAAATTGGGATTTTAGTGAGATTTGAAGTTGCTAATCATATAACATGGAGTTATATGACTCTAAGTTGCTAGTCAAAGAACATTCCAGGATTCAGGAAATGCCTCCCGGTTAGAATGCCCTTATTGTGTTTGAGAAATGGCACAATAGCTGGGTATAGTGGTTAAGGTGAAGAATAGTCTGGAAGACAGAGAGGCAAGCAACACCCAGATCATGAGCTTTGTAAGCCAGGGTAAAGAGCTTAGTTTTAAGACAATCTATTTAAGATAATTATTCAAACTCTTGGGAGGGAAGGGTAGCATAGGGCAGAGACAAGAAAATAGGAATCTCTTCTGAACTAGAGATCAAATATTTCTAGAAAAGGTCAATTTCTAGAGTAGACAGATAATGATAATTGATTTGGAAATGAATAAACAATGGAATCAAGCCTCAGCTAAACATTATAATAGTACCTGTATCTAAATGAAAAAAAAAAAAAAAAATCTCAGAATGAACAAAACATAAAAAACCTGTCAACAGAACTAGAAAGCAAACTCTTAGGGATCTAAAAAGAGTAGTTTGGATTGAGGAATAAAATGATTTCAAGGAGTAAGGGTAAAGAATACAAAATACCAAGAGCTTAAGCAGACTTTGAGTATAAATTGAAAAAAAAAAAAAAAAAAGTAGACTGATGTGTTCTATGAAACCAAAGTGTCCTATCTGTCTATAGTTCATACTCTCATTTAAATTCACCATATCTAGAAAAGAAATCCAACGGGTCGGGGGAAAGCTATAGAGGCTGTCACACTGCCCACGTAGGGAAGGGTTATTAGAGCAGAGCCAAAATCTTGACATTTGCTTTAAAAAATATGTGTCTACCATACTCAAGATATTGTATGACTACCGTGGAAATATTTATTTGAACTATAAATATAAATCCAATTTGTCTTCCTGAAGCTATTATACAAATAAGTCTTCGAGATAAACAGCACATTTCTAAGTCTGGTGTCTGGTATTCCACTAGAAACACGAGTCTTAAGTCTGCAAAGATTCCTTCAACTCACATGCTAGAAAGTTAAAATGTTCCTGCTATACAAATCTCCCAAGCTTCATGTGAAGAGGTTTTGCTCAAAAACTCAGTCTGTCCTAGGGGCAAAATGGTACCTGAAGCAGCAAGTTTCCTTAGGTCAAGGAAGGTGGTATCTATGCCCTGAAATTCTCCAGTCATTTGTCTAAATTGAATACATGGGCTACAAAACCAAGTCAAATTACTCATAGAAGGTTCTTCTTCTCAGATATTTGAAGATAGTTGTTACATTCTAAATGCGTCTTTTCTTCTCCAGACCTTTAAGAAAAAGGATTCCTTCAAATTAGTTATGAAAAATACACCAGCATGTTGTGGCATTAACCGTAATTTGAAGGCACCCCTCAAAGTTTCTTTTCCAATATCATTTGAGACCACAGTTTCAAACTCCACTGTGCACAATTTTAAGAAGTCTCAAAGTTAATTTTGGTTCTGAGACAGGAAGTCATAAATAATAAGGTCAAGGCATCTTGTTCTTTCTATCCTTCTTCAGAGAAGCTTCATGTTTATCTTTGAAAAACTGCATTATCTGATTAGGATTTCATTTAAATAAAGGGAGGATTTTCTATTTTTATTTGTTTTAAAGTTTGAGCTTTTAAATCACATATAATATGTAATATTCCTTGTAAATAATATGAGTTATTGCCATATACAAATCATTTTTATATTTGTTTCATATCCAGGTAGTTTTAACATTTAAGTACTTTCATTCTGCTTTCCTAATGGGCAAGCATGAAATACAAAATTAGCACTTCATAACCTACTATAATGATTGAAATATTTATCCCATGTTCACGTCTCATAAATATCAAAAGCCATCAGAGCAGCACTGTTCCAGAATATTGGTTGTGGGTAGATATGATGCAAGAAGTAAGCAAAAGAAAAATAATGAGTTTTTAAAAGGTAAAGTATTTGTGATGCTAGTACCAGAGTTTTCCTATTATCTGTGGAAGATACAATTAGTATAAATACCAATAAAATTCAAAATTCAATGATAGATAACTTTCAGAGATCAATATTTATTTATGAATATTTTTTTAAATTAAATAAGCACTGTTTCTAACCAAGTTCAACTGTTTCTATTTTCTTGTTCTTCTTACATGAGCAGCTTTGTAATTCAGTCAATTATTCAGCTTCCTCCTCCAAACAGCTATTAATCCTAACAGTGAGCTGGGAGTCTAAACAAAACAATGGGCTACTTCTAAAACAAGAGAAATGCTAAACACAAAATACAACCTGGGTATATTTATCAGAGTTACAAGTGATTTGATTTTCATAAACTAACAATTTTTCTCCCAAGTCATTTACTTTTGAGTTTTAGGGTTGGATTTTCACCATGTCTTTTTATTAGCAACTCAACTATGAGGCTTATAGAGTTTGAAATGTGCACTAATATAGCCATGACAATAACCTACATATTACACGTTGTCTTTCACCATGGTAGTATCTCTTGGAAACAGAATACTTATCCTCCTCAACATACCTGACTAATCCTTTCTACAAATTATCCTTCGTAGTGGGAAATCCTTTCCCCTACTGCTCAGTCTTTCGAAATCTCATCACTTTCTAGTATCAGTCTCTCCATAATTTCACCAAACAGTTCTCTATCTCTATATAAAATCATCATCAAATTTCATATTTCCCTTCCATTCTCTACAAAAACATACTCAAAATCGTTTTCCTTTTTATTTCCAAGATTTAAACCAACACAGTATTGCTGTCTTCTCTAATTGAAGATTTTAAAATTTTACTTATTTTATTTTATTATATTCTAGCTCAATCTCAATATGCTACTTTGGTTGGTTTACTTATAATTAAATCATAGATCTATAAAATAAGGCAAATGCTCAATAGGTTATAAAAGGGCCTATGGAAGAAGCCTCCAGAAGATGGTTAAGCAATTTTGGGTTGAGTTTCTCCTCAAAACACACTTAAAATATATTATTGCATCATTAC